ATGCACCTGTAGGCAGATGCCTACTCTACCTTATGGGGAATCTGGTCATGTTCATTCCCAGGATTTCATCTTATGGTGAATTAAGCATGTGACTGCAGTTGGTGCTTTAGGACTGAACTATCACCAGCATGAGTAAAATGTTAGTTTTAGCCAGCAAAGTTGGAGAGATTGATTTAGTGGATCTATGTAACATTTCTTTTATGTAGGTCTGAAGTGTTCAACTAGATGCACAAAAATATGTAGTTAAACAAACCCCTAACATAAAAACATAGAATGTGATGGCAGATAAGAACCATTTGGCCCATCTAGTCTGCCCAATTTTCTAAATACTTTCATTAGCCCCTCCATTTATCTTAAGTCTTGGATAGCCTTATGCTTATCCCATGCTTAAACTCCCTCAAACTTAACCTCTACCACTTCAGCTTGAAGGCTACTTCATGCGTCCACTACACTCTCAGTAAAGTAATACTTCCTGAAATTATTTTTAAACCTATGCCCTCTAATTTAAGACTATGTCCTCTTGTTGTAGTAGTTTTTCCTTTTTAAATAGTCTTATCCTTTACTGTGTTGATTCCCTAAGTTTAATTTGGTATATTACAGGGTCAAACTAATTACCTATCTTATTATGGCAGATTACTTTGCCACGATAACTTGTAGGAATCCTTGATCACTGTGTAACTTCTTTGATGCAGAAGGCTCACATAGTAAATCCTCTCTGTAACTTACTCCAGTACTGATGAATTGTCTATCAGGCCCTCAGCATTATTATACTACAAATGCTCAAAAATCAAACAATTTTGTAAGAGGGATTAAATATCTCTGTGTCAGCCATAGCAGTGATATGTCTGAATATCATGACATGCTCATATCAAAGGGAGTGTTTAAATAGACAACTTCTTGCCAACAGTATTATTTTAAAAATTTAAACAACCCATAACTGTGCAAGAAAAATGTCTAAATACTGAAAACAGCCCCCAGTTTAGAAAGGGCAAAATTGTATTTAAAAATGTTAAACCATGTTTAAACTATTTTTGTCTATTTGAGGGATATCATGATCGGAACTGTAGATCTGGAACAAAACTGTACACTGATATGTTTGTTTGGTAGTGCCCTTGTTTAAAGATGAAAAATAAACAATATATTACTTTTTGGGTACATGAAGAAAATAATTTTACAAAATACACAAACAAGTCTGAAATCTGTTCGGCACTGAGTAATACAAAGATCAGAAGAATCTCAGAAGAAAAATATTTAATATAGTAATCAATGGGTTGGGGGTATTGGGACATTGTAGACAATTTCTTACATAACACAAGCCACTCTTGTCCTCTGTGAGTCTCATATTTGGAGGGCTTGGTCGTTGTGTTCAAATGGTATTAATTTTAATACACGGCACTGGATTATTAGAGGTTAAATTATATATTGCATATTTTTCTGTTTTGCTATTTAACATTGCTAATGATTGCTAGAGTTATCAAGCACTGTTTTTAAGGTTCTGTGCAATGTTAGACGGTTACTATAGCAACAACCATGCAACTTTCCATAAGCCAACTGAATTGCATAATGCGTGTTCGTCATGACTTTTTGGCAGTCTCCTTCACTCTATCCAATGTCTTTGCAGTATAATGAGTTATTGAAATATGATGGATCATATTTAAAGTAGACTTGACAATGGCTTTTGTCAACTTGTAAAGGCAGTTCAAAATCTGCCTGTCTTTCCACACCTTTAATACATTTTGATGGTATTTATAGCTTTGCATACTGCAGTTTTTTTATATTTTCTGCTGATATACACCGTTGCCTTGGAAACACAGTACTGAATCTACTTTAACTCTGATTGCTCTACTTTTATTTTGTTTTTATATTTGTTTTTAAAGGTTAATGTATCGTTAATGCCTTTTGTGAATGGAGTTTGCCTATTATTTTAATTTGCTTTCGTTTGGTTTTCTATCCTTAAAAAATTTATGTGTGTGTGTATATATCTTTAAGAATTCAAATGTAAAATAGTAAAATTAGATATCCATTGTTTGAATAACTTGAATACATCTAGCAGAATACTGTAATACGTTAACTGTTACTCTAAATCTATACAGAATTTAAAGGGCACTGTCATCTGAATGGTGTTTATAGAAAGATTCTAAACATGCATCTTGACAATTACTTTAATTTTGCTACACAATACAACGTATGCAGTTATTAATACCATTGTGGCAATTATAACTGTTTTCTACATAAACTGCAGCTAAGTCACCCTGAAGCAAGCTGTCTTGGGACATTTTTAAAGTATTTGTTTGCTCTCTTCTGTAGTGCGGTGTGAGGAGTACTTAGGCTATTAATAAGCCATACATGTATAAAATGCATTATATGTAATGTTTCCAGACTTTTTATATAATACCCAGTGTTATTCTATTTTTTTTTATGATTGCACACCTATATTTATGCCTAGAGAGATATATGATGTGTTTTCCCATTGCAAGCATTTTGTATTATCTGTTAATGACATATAATGTACATTTTATACGCCTAAGATACAAAAGATAATTCTGCTGACTTGTGGTTTCCACATCACCACTCATTTTTCAGAGGCGATATACCATACTATATTAACCCTTTAAGGACCAAACTTCTGGAATAAAAGGGAATCATGACATGTCACACATGTCATGTGTCCTTAAGGGGTTAAAGACACAGTTACTTCTACTAAGCGGAAAATGGAATGTTTAAAACAAAACATAAAATGATGGTCATTTGCATTCCTTTTGAATGTTGAAATTATGGCTTATAAATAAATATTTAACCTCATCAGTTTTATACCCCTGGTATGTGGTCTTTAGGTCTGCATCCAGTTAATTATAGTCTGTAATCTTCAAACACAAAATGAACGTACAGATAGGTGACATACCTTTGTTGCCATAGCATCAAAAATCTTCTTAAATGTTCCTATATTGTCTTTTTGCTTCTCTTTTAATGATGTTCACAGTTAGAACATCACCTTCGATGACTGACAATGACCTTTCTTTTGTAAGGAACAATTCACATGCCATTGTCCGCAATCAAAGGTGCTGGCAACTTTTACTTTAATTTAGCTGGCTTTGTGCCTGCTAGTGCCCAAATATGTACAGTCATTTAATCTGGTGATTTAAAAGAAATAAAGCAGGATTTTAGCAAAGCTCACTAAACCGATCCACTTGAGAGGTTAGCATTAGTGAACTATAGACTAAAAGCCTTCATTACATAGAAATATATTGAAAATATTTAAATTCAAGTATACTTTGAATAACCATGTGAATGGAAATATTTCATTAACTAGCTTAATAGTTTCCAAGCTTAGGGTATCCTAATATAACAACCTGTACAATTACTCCATCTGACACTTCTCACAGTAGGTCAATAACCTTCATGATATTTCCACCAAGTTGATGTAATGCATATTCACCTCTAAAGTCAGAAGAATATATATCACTTCCGACTGATGGACAAATTTAAATGTTTAAATTAAGCATAGCAGGAATAAACAATATGCATTCACCCAGAAATAAAGCAAATGAAACATATCATCATCTGAATTTGTCTAACAATGAATTTCGCCCTAACAAGTGTGATACCATTCCGTAATGGCGAAATATACACCGAACAGGTAGCAATCTCCTAGCACCTATCCTTATTTGGTATGTTAATAACGAGAACTAGAAGCCCAATCCCTTATTATTAGGTTTTAAGTATATTATAGAAGGAATTTACTTTGCCTGACATAGTGTGTCTTGTTAATATTCTTATTCTATCTTGTTAGTATTTTTATTAAGTTGTTGGTATGAGAGGCTATGGTATGTAGTGCACATAGGTTATATTTACATACATTTGTTTTACATTTTTTGTATCAATGAATACAAAAAATTAAGATTTTGTTACACATATAATTATGAAAATATATGCAAAAGACTTTTGTAAATATATGCAAAAGAATACGTTCTTCTGGTGATTCGGAAATGCCCATCCTACTAAATAGAACTACAAACTGACTTCAGTGTGCAATGTGGATTGATGGATGAGCGGATTGATATAGAATAAGTGTGTGTTGACATGAAATACATGAAATGGAATAAAGCCTAAAAAAAAACAATTTTTTTCATGAAATATAACATTTTACATTCTTTATATTCAAAGAATCTGAATGCTAACATTTATATGTTATTTTATCATAGATCCCCACATTGGAAAAGAAAATCTCCAATCCGCAGCTTTCTCCATCAGTTCCTTCTGTTTACATATATCATTATGACTTTCGTCTATGGATGGAGATATAAACTACAAGAGACACCTCCTTCCTGATCACTGGAATCGGAGCACAATGCTTGGAGTCATCATAGATTTATTTTTTGTTCCACTTTATAGACTTTACCCTGATATCACAGCCATATTTACTATTCACAAAGAACTTACATTTGAAAAAGCAATGTATAACTAAGTGATCCCTTTAGAATTCATTAGAATCCAAATTTTTATTAGCATCCAACAAAGCTGTATCCAGTGCTGGAAGGTAAATGGACAGATAAAAATCTCCATCAGTATTACAAAATTCTTTATTTTGGAAACTAGAGACAATATAGTTAATACATTTTATATGGTCCGAATACAAATCTCTTTCTATTACGGTCGAGAAGGATTTCTACTGTACCACTTAAAGCCATAGATTATCAGTGGTGAAAAATACAATGGGATGTCAAGTGATGTATCTCATTCCCTGAATAAACTAACGGCTATATTTCAATGGTTGTGAATTGCATCAATGCATGTTGTATGTATTTGCACAATCAGTTCCATTCAGATTAATGATATGTGCTATATTTTGCAGATATGGTCAGGATAAACATTTCATAGGTTAGGCTTGCAAGGATCTTCTTTCAAACTTGATGCCTACATATTCTACCCAACTACAGAGATATTTTCCCCTACATTCTGAAACAATTATTTTTCAATTAAAAGTATATAAATATAATATACATATATGCATAATATATACATATATGTACATTATATATGTATATTATACATATATAATATACATATGTGTATTATGAAAACAATTTATTACATAACCCCAATAATGCTTATGTGCTCTAAATGATACACTTTTTTTTATATAACAGCTTTGGATTAGCCAAGGAAAATTTTTAAGAAACTGTGCATAATTGTGCCAGCTCAATTTATGTTGGTCTTCAGTTAAGAACAATAGGCACCATTTGTAAAATATCATCATTTTAGTGCTGTTATTTATGAATCGTGGGACTAAGTAACAGTCCACAGGCATTTTCCTCTTTATTTTTCTAAACACTTGTGTTGCCTGTGGGATCTACTGCCATCTCTTTTAGATTATGTTATAATATAAATAATGAAAGTTTATTTTTTTAAAATGCAAAACAAAATCTTGCCATGTCAGGTCATTGCAATTTTCAGGCTGAAAGCTTTAATATAAATATAATGTACCATATTGTAAAATGTAAAGAGTATATTTCTACTTGCATACCTGTACAAATGAAAAAAATAATATTTTTCACTATAACTTTCAGTAAGAAAATATTTTGATATTGAAAACCTTGTTGATTTAAGATAGCAGGTAACAAACGAATGTACGGGTGTCCATATAGTGTAATAGGTTGAACCAACTATGCTTTTAAAATACTTGCAACACAATGTATGAATGCCTATGGACAGCATACATTTTGTTTATCTCCTAAATTTTTTGTTTACATTTCACATACCACCTGCAGAGCATGTTCACTTATTTCATTTGTGGCTTACTATGCAGTGTTTATTGTTACTCCACAGTAAGTTAAAGTCTCTCCAATCTGAATAATATGATGACTAAATAAAACATATTAATGGTTGCCAAGAACTATTTTTTGTTTAATGGAACTTTATTTTTTACTATATGTTTTATTCTACAGTACAATATACTTTGTGTACATGCACACATGATGTAAATGCCCTTTCGATATTTAGAGAGACTCCGAGCACCATAACCACTACAGAATGCTGCAATGGTTATGCTGGTTGGAGTGCCCTGACCCCACTTTAAGTTGTCAAGCCATTTTAGAATGGTTTAACTTTATAGCTGGTATCTTCTGGGCACCACACCTCACCTCTATTACTTCAGACAGAGAAAAGGAAGTTCTCTTTCTGAGCTAAGTCCAGTTGTGCTCGGCTTATCTCATTGGCTAAGAGCGACCTATTGATACTCTCAGCCAATGAGCCAGCCCAGAACTGCAGGACTTAACTCAGAAGACCTAATACAAGATTTTGCTTAAAGGATCACTATAGTGCCAGGAAAACAAACTTGAAGGGGGAGGAAGGGGTTCAATTCTTACCTTTCTTCAGCACCAGGCTCCCTCGGCGCTGGGGACTCTCCTCCCTCTTCCGACGTCATCTGCTGAATGCGGATGTGTGGCAAGAGCCGTGCACGCATTCAGTCAGTCCATAGGAAAGCATTTCTCAATGCTTTCCTATGGATGCTGGCGTTTTCTCACTGTGAAAATCACAGTGAGATGGGCGGAAGCACCTCTAGCAGCTGGATTAACCCTATTGTAAACATAGCAGTTTCTCTGAAACTGCTATGTTTACAGCTGCAGGGTTAACACTAGATGGACCTGGCACCCAGACCACTTCATTGAGATGAAGTGGTCTGGGTGCCTATAGTGGTTCTTACCCCTTAAGGACCAAACTTCTGGAATAAAAGGGAATCATGACATGTCATGTGTCCTTAAGGGGTTAAGGAACTTCTGGCCCTTTATTGGAAATAGTGGAGACCAGGATTGCTGTTGGACCCCAGCTAAGAAGTCAAAGCATTCTAAAATAGTTTGAATACGTACAATGGTGGGGGGCGCTAGAAAACCCCTGGCACCTAAGCCACTACAGAGCGCTATAATGGTTGTGGTGCTAGGACTGTTCCTTTAAGACAGGGGTGTCCAAAAGGTAGATTCCCAGATATTGTAGAACTAAACTCCTATGATGCTATGCATGCTATTAGAATGCTTCTAGAATGACAAAGCATTGTGGTAGATGTAGTAATAAAACATCTGTGGATTTACCTTTTGGGCACCCCTGCTTTAAGGGATCTATGTTTATTGTTACATTTTACATTCACAAACCTTTTGTGATTATCACCATCATATTGATATTTTGATATTAAGAAAACCTTTAACAATTAAAATTTAACAAGCATAACATCTAATATTCTATAGTTAAAACCATGTAAAATCAAACTATAATTGAAGTAAAATTAAAAACTTTACAAAAAATGTATTCACATTTCCTTTACAAAAGGAATACAAAAATAAAAATGAAAGTCTGTTCAATTTAAAGGGAAAGTATATAGAGAGTATGTTTGTCATTATACATAGTAAACGCATTATATAGATAATTGTTTCACGTTTTTGATAATGCCTAGAAATTGTAGGACTTGGGATCTGAGTGATTGACAGCGGAGATTGATCATTTCCTTAGTTCGTATGTTGTCATGTTCTACTAGTTCCACTGGCCTTGTAGTTATAAATAATAGATCTATTTTTATTTTGCCCCGCAGTATTATCCCCAAAGCTCCTTTTAAAGTTAGACAGATCACTAGATAATTATTTTAGGAATACTGAAAGTATATTTTAGCTATACATAGAGAGACCAGAGGCTGCACAGAGTGTTTATGCCAATATTTGCACACATAAAGCAGTTTTATTAGATCCGGTTTCCATTAAGGTGAGAAAATATAAGTGGCAAGACTGTTTAAAATGCCCCTTTTTTTCAGTCAAATGATAGATTTGTTTAAAATGAAGTGCAATTACGTTAATGTATGTCTTGTATAACAATAATAAAATTGAGTGATGTATGATGAAAGTTGATAAGAGAATTATCAAACAAATAAAGAATTCATTATTTTCAAAAAGACTATGCATCATAGATTCTCATGGTCACCTGTGAGAACACTGCAACAAGTACAGGGGCCTTAAGATTTCCTTGTTGGAATATGATAGAATCAAAAGGTAGCTTGGCCATGTCGATATCTTCTTCATCTATGAAGTTAAATTAAAAAAAATCTACTTATGCTGTTTTAACATGAAATCAAAAACATCTGCAGTTAGTGATGCAAATCACAAAAGTCTCACCAAAGTACACCTTCCAAAATGACAAGATATACTTCCCCTTAATGACTTAGATGACGCAATCTTCTCAGGTATTCCACAAGTTCCTTTGGTTAAATATATACAATATAAAGGTAACAGTGTATAAAGAAAAATTACATTATATATTATTATACAATTTGTAAAATATGTTGGGCTATTATGCCATATATATATATAATTTGAATGCAGAGATGGAATGCAATAAATGTTTATATATATATGTATATTTAGTTAATAAAAAGGAGTTTATTTGTGTAGTGTTAACGTTTCAGACCCGCTCATGGTCTTTTCTTGAGACCTTTTTATTTTTTATTAACTAAAGTCCTATGAGTGTCCATTCCTTCTCTGCATTCAAATTGTATTTTTGTTCCACTGTGGAGCAGCAAGGAATTATAATCAAAGGATTTGTTTCTTCAAAACAACGGGATAAAAGTGAGTGCCTTCATACCTACATTCCAGTTTATATATATATATATTTATTATGGTCATGTCCTTTCAATGGACATTGTCTCAAGGTCTTTTATTTAGGAGAAAGAGCCAGTGGTTTACTAGCTGGAGTCTCACAGGTAAATATCAGAATTGATTGGAGGAGTTATTAGGATGGGCAAATGCAGAGTTAGCAAGGAAGAGAAATATATAAATTAGAATACTCTGGGCACTAATACAACTACAGTGTATTTGATAGGTTTTGACCTCATATTGCATTTTTTGTTTTGCTCCCTGTTCAAAACTTTTTAGCTCTGATAGCAATATGAAAACTGTTTTGCAGCATTCTACAGCACAATTCCATCCCCGTAGCTATACCTCCCATTTTAACAAAATGTCAGCCTCACTGGTAGCTAATTGGTGTTGTGCAGCCAATTAGAGATCAGTGGGAACTGAGTGCTGATTTACTGTGCCCCCCACAGTTAGGCATTGTCTTCTTATTATCTCCATAGTATTCCAAAGCCACTCTAAGAGCATAGCGTACAAATAGTAAGAAGTCTATGATAGGCTATGGGGCGGCGTTATAACAGCAACTCAGCTCATTCTGAGCTCTCACTGGCTCAGCTGAGTATATACTGAGAGTATGTCTAATAAGGATGATGCTTTGTGAAAAAGATGCATGGTTAAGGGGCACATGGTTATTTTGCTTATTGCTTGGTTCCATAAACTGCAGAAAGCTAAAAATGTTTTTTTATTTTTTTATTTTTTTTATTTAACAAAACTGAAGAACTTTGAATGCTGATAAAAATACAACATGAATTTTGCCCTAAAAACTATCAAATGTACTTAAGTTGTGTTTGTTCCTATATTGTATCAAGAGTATCCTTTTAAGGACAATATGGCATGGCACTTGCACAGTATATTTAATATCACTGTTATTTCTGTTTCTTGCTGAGGAAGGTGGGGCACCCAATGAAATGTGTAACACACTTTTTAAAAATAATTTGTTTGTTTTTAATCTGTGCTTTTCTTATTTGTCAAGCATAATGTGTGTGTGCTGCTACATTGGAGTGCATTTTGTGACAGCTAAAAGTGTGAAGTCGTTTGGTGTTTTTAGCTGAATCAGGTAATGTTTTAGAGAATAATTCTCTCAGGAGCAAATTAATAATAATAATATATTACTTTGTTCCATAAATAAGAGAATTACATTGTATCCCAAGGAAATAAAAATAATATATATATATATATATATATATATATATATATATATATATATATATATATATATATATATATATATAAAATCTATATATGGTTTCAGGTAGATTGGTGCCAAGTTAAATGACCATGTCTGTACACCCATCAAGAAATCAAGAATATAGAATATTTTGAGTGCACTGACTTCTTGAAATGATATTCCCAGTGGATATGCTTGTATCGTGCTATCCTTGTTTTTTTATAGTAATACTGACTTCGGTATATATACAACAAGGAGAAAAGCTCAGGTGGAGGATTAATTTGTTATTATTGTTCACAAAATAACATCAGCAAATTAAGTTTCTCTTCGCTATCTAGTCTTTTAATACCTGATACTGTAGACTATTGCCAGTCTCTCAGTGTCTCTGAAGCTAGAACAAAAATAAGCAATAAATGCACAGCCCAAGCTAGTACTGTAACTAATAACATGTGGGATAGGAGACAAGAAACAGAATTTAAAATGTTCGCTGAGGTGTAGGAAAATAATCCCAATACCATGGCAATAAAGGGTTCTTGAATGACAAATTCTCCCTGAACTTAAACTGGTGCTAAACTGATTCTTTATATGAAATTACAGACTGTATATATGTTTTGAAATTAGTTATACCTCTATTTTAATTTCCTACATCTTATTCTATTATTTTCTCATTGTGATGTAACAAAAATGGTCCAGCAGAATTTGGTCTGCTAAAAACTTTTTTTTTTTTTTTCACACATTATATAAACTTCCCATTATATTGTAGTTAATTTGCATTTATTGTAATTGTAAAACCCCTGTTTTGCTTTATATGCAATGCAAGAAGTGGACCTGGGCACTGAAGAAATTTTAGTTTCGTAAATAAATGTGTTTCGTCAGGACATTATTTTCATTTTGAAGAACCCATTCATTAATGCGACTCACCCTCCCATTCCATGTCCCTATTTTAAAGCAATGTTTTGAAAAAGGCCAAATGCACAAATGGCTTGTTCGTTCAGAGCATGAACGATCATTCGGCTCACGCCCATCATACCTGTAATAATAAATATGTAAAAGTGAGCAGAACTAACAAATGAGCACCAAACATTAGAGCCATTTGTACCTTCAGATGACTCATTTGGCAGTTTGTGGTACATACAATAACAGACAGTATACTCTCTGTCTGTAATTCAAAAAGTTGAATGAATAATCCGATTGAATGAATGGCTCATTCATTCAGTGCACATTTCTGATAGGAGTGAGCAGAAATAATGAAGTCACACCAAAAGAATGAGCCATTTGTGCATTTGGATGAAGCGTTCGGCCTTTTGAATGACAGTGTAATACAAAAGGCCAAATGTGACTTGTGAATGAACGAAAAAAACAAATGGTGCATGAAAGAAATTCGTTCGGCGCCCATTTGTTATTTGGACTAAAAGACAAAAAACAGCTTTCCGTCCAAAAATGCATTTGTATTAATATGAATGACCATTTCTAACAAGTTGTATCCTTTAGCTAAAAGTTCCAGAGTTCTCAACGTGAAAATTTGAGAAGAGCACAATTAAATGATTAATTGTAGTCTTGAAAAGGCAAGGAAAACATTATTTAAATTGAGAAGTATCTTTTGCTCATGCAATTCTCTACAATACATATGATACTTTGTTTAATTCATTCAATTATAAGTCATCTGCTTACATGAAAATACCGTAAATGAGAACAAGAAGGAACAGACTAATTATTAAGTATTTGGTTTTTTTTTTTCTGGCTTAGTTATTACTTAGTTATGACTTAATTCACTAATGCAAGGCACATTTAACATATTTCCATTTTATATTTTAATTCCCCTCTTTCACTTAGATTTACTATGTATGTGTGTGTCTCAAATTTTAGGAAGTTTCTAGAAACTATGACTACATTTAACTATAATGAATAAGCTATCTGGGAGTTTTTAGCCTTTTAGGCAATAGGAACTTAGGTGACTTTTAAATTTGGAAACAAATCAGGTATTCAACATTGATTACAATGTGTTTTGTATTCAAATAGCTATTGATGGCCTAGTAATTCACATCAGTTTACAAGAAATGTTATCATAAAAGATTAATCTTGTGACATCTGCAGAAAATAGTTTGCTGATCCCTGCAGCTGAATTTTGTTAATCTTGATAACTCATGTCAAAACATTTTAATTTAAGTGATTAGTGTTTGTGTCAGCATTCCAACTCTTTGTTTTTCAATTTTCTCTTTAACCTTTTTTTCTTGTAATGTATTTTCGTTATTTGATTACATAAATAATTTGTTTATTTAACCTTCTCATTTTTATTATAACTCTGTTAGCTATATTTTCAGTGCTGGAAACTTTTTTTCTTAGTTTTTAATAACATTTTTTTGCGATAAGATGATAACTTTACTGTTAAATTCAGTTAAAACCATTTTTGCTTTAAAAAATGTTTGTTTGGTGTTCTTTCTATGATCTCTGACAAACTAAATTATAATATTAAAATATAAGACTTTATGCTATAGTCACTTTGCATATGAACTCTAAAATTATGATAGTAATTATTGGTATTCATTCACTACTTACAAAGTAAGTATCAGTATATATATGTAACCTATACATAATATCCATCCTTATTAAAAGAAAAAATTGGGAAGAAAAGGAAGGAGAAACTGAACCTGCCCAAAATAATTCCATTCCACATGCAAATGCCTGTATCGGTCCCTTGAGCCTGCACATTACAACCCGTAATAATGCACTCGCATTATCAACTAATTCCCTAACCGACCTCAGCGTGCGTGAATGCGCAAACATGCTGATTATACTTGAACCAAGTTTGAACGCCCAGTGCGCGGGGACCAAAATGACCATTTGCATGAGAAAAAGTATTTCTTTGGGCATGTTCACTTTCTCTTTTTTTAATCTTCTTGATTTTTTTCTTGTAATGAGGATAGATAAAATGTATTGGTAACATATCTACCAATACTTTCTATGTATATACTGATACCTACTTGCACCAGCAATCAACATAGACAAAACATACGAAGAAGATGAGAAATTAAACAGTTTCTTTTTCTCCCCTTCATTTGCAATGTGTGCCCTGACTTTGCCTTATCTGAACAGGATTATGATGTACGGAAGTGATCATGCCACTACTGGTTTTGATTTTTACTTGATACTCACAGCCATCAGCTGTGGAGGGGAGCTATAAGCAGACACTGGTATGTAGGGATGCAGACACCCTTGAGAAAGGCAGCCTGGAAGATGCCGAAACATTGGGGTAATTGGTGACTTGTGTTTCTGTTCTGTTAGGCTTGTGCAAATTGGGTAATTACTTTTGAATTCAGTATCATGCCTTTTGCTTTGCCCAGTTGTTTTCTGGTTTTGTGAGCATTAATTGTTTCAATAAAGAATTTATATATTCAATATATTTTGTAGCCATTATAGTGTGCATCCCATTTCTTGTATATATGGATTTATTTGGGGCACTTGAGGGAGTACTTATGAGGTTTGCACCTAATTGTGGAAGTTATACTTTTATATTGTTTACTCTCCATGCGTTTTTGTTATATGGGAATTTTTCTTGTTAAAATATTGTAGTTCCCTAACTCTATCATAAACCCCACTGTTTCTCATTTGTAAAATGCAAACAAATGCAATCATTGAACAAATTTATTTAACAGTTTCAGGATGTCATTTTTTGAGAGGGTTATGCTGAAAACGCCAATGCATTGAATTACGTTCCAAAAGTCAATTCATTGACGCTCCAGTGGCTTTTAAGATGTTGAAGCAAGTATTCACTAGTGCTCCTGTGCTGATCGATGTGCAGTCACATAAATGATTTATGCTTCAAGTAACTGCTAATGAAAATTCTTTATCTTTTGTTTTATTGCTTCTTTATACATAGGTCATGGATTGCTTGCCTGTTAGCCAGAAGATTATACATCCAAGTTCTATTCATTTAACATTGCAAACATTAGTCATCTTAAAATGTGGCTGCAGAAAGTGGAGTATCACAATTAAAACTTTCCATGCCCATTTTAGAAACTAGTAAGCACATACTCAGTTGATGAAAATCACATATTTTATAAATGGTAGAGCCCTCTCAAATATTTATGCCTAAACTATGGTTTGTAACTAAACATCAGGAGTCATTTCAGTTTAATTAGACGGAGACACTAACCACTGTTTAATTCTGATTAATAGTTAGAACATTATGGAACATGTTATATAGTCAGTACATACTGCTTCATGTCTGTTTCTCCAATTGCTAGCATTCGGTGGATACTTCATCCAACTAATATAAGATTGAAAAATACATCTTCCTGTTAGTGTATTGTAGAGTAGGGGTTAAAGCAAGGTTTTTACTGTTAGAGGAGCACAGGGATAGTGCTGCCCGAGATTAGTCTGAGTTATTGTTGGAGGAGGTAGCTATTTCAACCACTGCACTATTTAAAATGGCACTATTGTTTGAGAATGTAACTCCCACTCATTTCAGGCAGACCAGACCTCGTTGCCTCTATATTGCACAGCAAGATCGCCTAGGTGGCATAGACCCAATTGTTTTGTCATGTCCCTTAACAGAGCAAAACCTGCCATGTCCACAGAGGTAAATGTGCATTATTCAATGTTAATTACAAGGACATTCAATGAAACATTTATATATGGGCTATAAGTGTATATTTAAAAAAAGAAAAAAGATAATTCGAGAAGCAAGAGGCCTTGGTAATAGAGCAGCTTTAACTTCAGTTGACAACACTGCACTTTAGTTTAATTTTATACAGAGAATATGAAAAAATGCCAAGACTTTGTTACATCCTCATTAGTCCATTCCACGCAAAGAAGTATTCAAAGCTCTTCTGCTAAGCATGAACTTTTATATCATCCCATGTGTATCAACCTTTTTTTCCAGGATGTACTTAATATCATGTAATAATACATAATACCACTCAACTAAGGTCCAAGCAAGGGTAGAGGTGCTGTACCTTTCTGATGAAAGCTTTGCTAATATAGCAGAATAGCCTGCAGTCATCTTTTGTGTGAAGAGAAGAAATGTAATGGTGGGTACTGCATGTGTAATTCAGACATGTCAATCACAGAAGGTTCTACCAAGTTATGGTTGAAATTGTGCATATAATTTAATACATACATTCTAAATAGGATGGGTTCATTTACATTTAGTGAGCTATATGTATACATACTGTACATGTATATGGATAGAAATATTTTTTTAACTGTTTGCTATATTTTTGACCTGATGTGTATTCAAAGTTAAAAAAACTAAATTAAAAAACAAGAATGTGCAAAGATTATGATTTGCTAATAATATCACCGAAAGCAGGAGAGCAAGAAAATATTAATTTTCTCCAAGAACCTATGCAGTCTTGTATCATCTCATTCCATATATACATATTTGTTTGTTCAAGAAACAAAATTATTTTGATGTAACAACTCTCTAAGGAAAATAGTAATGTTTTTAAACTTCACCCTTCATGATCAACAAACAGCATTTAAATTTTTACAGATTTTGGATTAGTGAAAAAATAATTAAACTAATCATTTCAGTTTTGCATTTTGAAATAACAATAATTTCATTGGCCAATTCAAAGGTATTGCTCTTAAAGTACTGATTTGTATAGTACAGGGGTAGGCAACGTTTGGCACTCCAGATGTTTTAGACTACATCTACCCTGATGCTTTGCCAGCATTATGGCTGTAAGATGTAGATGTATGTCTGTGGGAGATGTAGTCGACAGCATCTGGAATGCCAATGGTTCCCAAACCATGGTATAGTAGTAGGTGTGGGATCCAATTTTATCTCCCTGTCGCCCTATAAAGGGCTTTACATTCTTTGCATTGTGTCCCTGATTATAAAAGCACATTAAATGCTTAGTATTTTCAAGGATCACTATAGTGTCAGGAAAACAAACCCGTTTTCCTGACACTATGTCATCCTTGGGGGACCCTCACCCTCAGGTTAAATAATCTGCTCTATTTATTGTACATATATTTTTAATCCATAAAAATGTTGATTTATTTGTGTATGCACATATAGAATAGTCATAATATCAAAGTATTTAATCAGGAAAGTTACATTTAGCTTGTTGTCAGATTTCCTACATATCACATTTGTATTGTACATGAAATTGAATGCATTCCTTTCTCCAAATGAATTATGTTTGTTTATGAAACCTATACAGAACACCCTAAATGATACCAGATATTATTAATTTGTCTAACTCCTGGAAGGGAGTAAAATGTTGTTAAACACTGCAAGGATAATGGAGTCATTAAATGGCTGTTTAATAAAATGCCAAGGGTTCATTTATATTCAGCTATAGTTTGTTTTGAGATCTCTTAATATGCCTTGAGAATAAATATTTAGCTTGTAATGCTCTTGATAGTTATTTATTATTCACATATTTGTGCATAGAAATGATTACCTCATCAAGCACAATTTCCACATGCAGATAAAAGCCTTTTATATACAATTTTTGTTTATTAACATAAGTGCGTCTATTAAATGTCATTTATTTAGCCATGAATCCTTGCAATAAAGTATCTAAAATCTTCATACAAACTTAATTCGTATAATCTCTGCAGTGCAATCACAATATTGTAAGTATAATTGAAAGCAACATTAGTCCCACTAAATACTTAGGCCTGTCTAGCCAAAAAGATCTGAGTCTCAAGATAACTTTCAAAGAAGAGTCAGTGGAAATATGTAATTTCCTATTGATTCTAGAGTGATGCTTCAAGATGGCCAAAACCTAAACTATTCAAGGAAATGCATTGGTTTAAGGTAGCTTAAAAATGGTAAACTTCTGTGATGCTGAACTAACCATAATTGCAGTCATAGTAAAGCTTGAAGCAGATCAGTCAATTTTTGGGTCTTTGCATATTTAGCAAATACCCTAACACCGACAAGTCTGGTGTGGGTGCTGAGTACATGGAAGAGAAGTTTTACTTACCTCAGGCTGTCCCTCGTGGCTGCCATCATTGTCACGCTGCAATTCCTCTTTGGCTCCTGGCTCTTCAATTGGTAGGAGCAACGTCAGTGTTGTACTCTGGTGCATGCACGAGAGTGCAACACTGAGATTTATGGAGAATCCTGGGAGATTGCAGGATCCACCATAGACAGAGCCTGAATTCTATAGCCGTCATTTGTGACAGTTGCTATGATTGGACAAAAGTGATTTTTGTCAAATTCAGGATTTGACCATAAGATAGTCCCTACATTGTCTTATGGATTCTTTGGATTGCAATAGAATTTCAATCAAATTTCAATGCAGTCTTAGTCAGTATTTCATAAAAATATATATTTATGAAATACTGAAAAGTGAAAGAACTGCTTTAAATATATTGGCTCCTTCATGAAACAAAATCGGAAAGAATTTCAAGCTCAGCTTTGGGTATCCATAAAATGTAACCTTGGGGTTTGCTATTTGTTCTCACAATTTGTTTAACCCCTTAAGGACCAAACTTCTGGAATAAAAGGGAATCATGACATGTCATACAGGGCTTAGTGTTTTGTTTTGATGACAGTTTCAGGAGAGGAATCAGTGTGCGGGGAGGGAAAGCAGTTCAAAGTTTATTTGATGTGCTTTCCTAAAGAAGTAAGATTTCAAATGTACTATATTATCCAATCGTCTCTATTTTGGTGTATATTGTGAGTACATTTGTACATTTGTCTAATAAAGTAAGTGCTTCTTACCATCAAATCAGCAGTATGTTCTATTAATGACTGAATTCTAGCAGTGCATTAATGACTGCATGCTGATGTGTTCCCTTGTATATAATAAGAGAACCTGGAAAGCCCAAACAGATTTGTGTTGTGTGTGTGTTCTGACTGCCAACAACCTTATAGGGTAATAGGTTCACTGCTGTGCATTTTTTATATGTTTGACTTTATCTTAGAGTTACAGTTATAAAGCTTGGATCTAATACAAAGTTAAAAAAAAGAATAATGTAAACAATAATGACTTATTTATTTCATGTTTCCTAAACTTACTTGCCTGAAACATGGCTCTCTCCCACTGACACTACTACCCCTGCCTCATTATCCTTCACTTCACTCACAACCCAAGACAGTCTGACAGTAAGGGTGGTGGCATAGCGTTTTTGCTTTCACCCTGCTTCTCCTTCAAACATCTACCATCCCCCCTTTTCTCCACATTTGAAGTTCACGTAACTCACCTGTTCA